GACATCCTCTTTGCTAATTAAAATTATTATTTCATATAGATCTTTCGATAATCTTCCTGTTTTTCGAAGCTAAATCAAATTTCAAAACTTTTTTAAACAATGCCAACTTGTAGAGAACAAAATTCTTCAGAAAATGATGCGCTTGGTTGCGTAATAACAGGTCTTCTTGAGTATGATAGAAATCTATCTTTTCCAATATAATTTACAGTGGTAAAATAAAAGACAGAAAAGATTTTTCGTTTAGTTGCTTTGTATACGCCAAGTCAGTTAAAAACGAAAGGAATGCATACATATCCATACGTCATGAATATAAAGTGATAGAACGAAAACAATTATTTTTCTTTTTTTTCTCCACTATAAATTATATTGGAAAAGATAGGTTTTTATCATACTCAAGAAGATCTGTTATTACGCAACCAAGCGCATCATTTTCTGAAGAATTTTATTCTCTACAAGTTGGTATTGTTCAAAAACATTTTGAAATTTGTTTTAGCTTCCTAAAAACGAAGATTATCGAAAAAATTACATAAAATAATGATTTTAATTAGCAAAGAATATGTCTGTTATTTAATGATTTTTAGAAAACAAAAGACATGATTCGATTCAGTTTGATTTTCTCTATTGAATGATGTATTTTGAGTTGAAGTTTCATTTTATTCAACTTAAAAAAACGTAAGTGATCTGTAAAGCTATGAGTATTGTTCTGTTAATATTATCTTCGATTCTAAGATCCCAAAATAAAATTGGTCATGTCGCAATAATGTTTCTTGCATCGAAAATCAAGTCATTTATGAGAAAAACTTGCAAAAGTTAATAAAGATATTTTTAAAAGATTGTTTTTCGTTGACTAAAATAGAGACTTCGATCTATAGAATGTTATAAACAGAATTGAGATAATGTTTTTTTCTTTTCTGTTAACTGTACTTCACAAGGCAAGTATTATGGAATGTTGAAATAGCCTTTTACATACTGTATATGCAAGGAGATCGAGATATTTGGTCTCGAGTTTTTCCGTCATATACAGGATTGAATGACTTACATAAGCAAAAAATGGCTATGTAGGAATCAAGTAGATGCTGTTAGCATCAATGATTCTCATTATCTGTCGAGTGCATGCCTAAATCGAATACGAATATAAATGAACAATTTCGAAAACTCAAAATTCAGCTTTGGAGTATTATTTCCAATTGAAAATTGCACCAGATGTGCTAAAATATCTTTTGATTATCTTTACACAGTATGGGGATTAACGACTATGTTATTAGAATAATTCATTGAAAATGGCCACTTAATATTGAAATATGTATAGCAAAAAAAATGAAGAGAAACTCAAGAATTTATGCATTTTGTATCGATTATCATTATAAAAATAAATTTAATAATTAAAACATCCATAGATTAAGCATTGTCAAAGAAGCTTCACACTTATCCAAACTTTAAGTCATTTCATTTGTTTTTATCTTTTGCACGTGTCATATAATTGGAAGTAATGTAAATAGTATATTGGAGATGAACCGACAAAATTACATCGTCACATCTCGATATTGTTTTATATTTACAAGTTACTCAAAAAAATTAAGAAACTCTCAAAAAAGAAACTTAGTGAATTCTGTACATTAGTCGTCGGAGAGCTTATGTTCCCTAGCAATCAAATTTTTATTATTTCTGAATGAAACTTACATCGAAAGTGGACGGTCATCTTATTTTATACTTGTTGTATAGATATCTATGCGATGGCTCAATTTTCTTATTATTATTTATATTTAATTATATAATACTTTGTCATTGTTAACTATTAACAGATCTGTATCCAATATTGTTAACATGTCAAAATAAACGCGCTACAAAAGCAAAAGAAGCTTGAAGTGTATAATAATATTTATCATTTCTAATTAACTACTCTTCCACTACTATAATATTTTATGTTCTATGAGAGAGTTATGTCAAATGTTGTTGACATATCAAAGTTTAAAAAAAGCCAGAAAACAAAAGGAGCTTGAAGAGTAGGACAATGTGTATTTTTCTCATTAATTCTTCTTTCACTATCATAATATATTATTTTCTATGACAAATCTCATGATTAAGTAAAGAATTCCATTTATCAATATTATTGTTCTTTAGAACTTAGGAAAATTATTATTTTTCAACATATGAATTGTCTGTCTTTAAGAAAGAGCGTCTATTTCCTAGTTAAAATTAGATTTTTCTAGAACAAAATAGCACAAAAATTTGTTTTTTGATAAGATGTTTTTGCTTTATACTCTATTTCAAAGAAGACGATTGAATAGAACCAAAAGTGCGTGTTTTTATTGACGATAAAACCGAGTTGTTTTCCATTATTATAATTAGATTTATAATCTCTTATAGCATGTAGAAAATTGTATTTTTTTTTTTCTATCGAATCAGAAACATTTCGCTTTTTTTTAAACGTTTTTAGATAGCAGACTGGAATATACAAACGACATAACAAATTGATAACAACAATGATCATTGTCTTCGACATATCTTCTGAGAGTTTAAGAAAAATTTCTCTTCAAGCTCGATTAATATATTGTGATTGATCTCGATTACATATAATGTACTTTGATACATTTTTTATGTATGAACATTTATCGGAATATATTAAACTCTATTCATTTTATTCAAGATCAATTTGTGTTTTTCATTTTATACGAACATATAGAAAATATTTCTTGAGTGATTCTATTCTTTATCTTTTATTTTATAGTGAAACTCTTCCCTCCCTTGCATATATTCAAAGATGAAAAGTCTTGAACGAGATGAATAACAAGAAAGACGACACTAGTTAGAAAGATAACGGAGAAAAGAAGAATATACATGGTTATATGGATAATAGCAATCACTACATAAATAATAGTTTAATCAGTTATAGTAAAGCGCTTGAATATGTCATTCCCGACTTTTAGATCCACGATTCTGATGCCTAATAAAAGAAAAAGAAGAGAAAATAAAATAAGACTGATTGATTGGAGATTATTAGAAACGATTGTTTTCATTGTTGATATAATTAGTAAAGTTTATTCATTCAACATCGATATTGAATACATTCGAATACATTATTAAGAGTAAAGATTGTTTTTTCCAACATTATTCTTTTTTTGAATGGTTAAAAAAACAACATGAGTTTGTTTTCCATTTATCAATTATATATATAACACTAACTTTGTTTACTCTCTCTCTCTCCCCAGAGTAAATAGATTATATTGTAATTTCTAATCAAGTCGGTTTCTCGTTCTTTTATCTAAGTTATTTTCTCTATTTCATTTCATAAAATCCTATGCAATTCACTTTGATTTTCACTGATCGATTCATCTGGAACTCTTTCGATGTGTATTAGTATTATTCTGTAATTAAACAGATGTCTAAAATAATTGATGAAAAACTTCACATCTAATACATCATTCCATAATAATAGAAATTTTATAAGTATCCATTATCATGGCAGATATCGTTTTTTTCCATGAACAATAATCTTCGTTAATGATTTTACAATAAACTATTGAAAATATTTTGTTAAAGTTTAAATTCATAATAAATCGAAAATAGTTAACAAGATAAGTATACGAATTGTACATGAATGAGTCCTAATCGATGAAATGACGAAGCGAATTTGAATGAGTACTCTTCATAAATATGTTTTATTTGTTATTGATATTAAATATTTCATAAAAATTATTCATATTGTGACAAATGAAAAATTTCATTTGTATTATTTATTTATTTTAGTGACATGTCATCTAATACAATGATTATCATAACCTTAAGTGTTATTTCAGCTCAGCTGAATCGTTATTTATCAATTGTTATACTACTATTCGGCGTAGTAGGTAATCTTCTAAATTGTCTTGCTCTATCACAACGAACTCTTCGTTCAAATCCATGTGCTTTACTATTTCTTGCTTCATCCATTGCTAGTCTTATTACTCTTATATCTGGTGTTGCCGTTCGTTTATTAGCTGGTTGGACAATTGATTTAACAGATAGTATTGGATGGCTTTGTAAATTTCGTATCTTCATTTTATTTTCTTCAAGAACAACAGCTTCATGGCTTATTGCAATGGCTACTATTGATCGATGGCTTTCTTCATCAATTGATGTTCGTCTTCGACATATGAGTACAATTAAAAATGCTCAACGAGGAATTATTATTATAATATGTCTATCAAGTCTTGTCTATGCTCAAATATTCTATTGTTATGAAGCAAATTTAATCGATTCTCCACTTAGATGTTATGGTAAAACAAAATGGTGTCGTATATTAATTGATTTAGAATTTGCTTGTATAAGTGTTATAATTCCTTCATTGTTAATGTTTATCTTTGGATTAATGACTATTTTTAGAATTCGTCAAACTAGTCTACGTCAAATTCAACCAATTATGATAGCAACATTAACTCCAAATACAAATAGAAGTCAACGATCTCAACCATTGAGAAAAACTGATCATTATTTATTAGTTATGCTTTTAATGCAAATATTATTATTAACTCTATTTTCATTACCACAAGCTATTGGAAATCTTTATTCAAATTTAACTTTATATCAAATAAAATCTTCATTAGCTATTGAAATAAATCATATTATATTTAATTTATTTATTCTTCTTACTTATGTAACTAATGGAATGCCATTTTATATTTACACATTAGTTGGTGGAACTGTTTTTCGTAGAGCATTACTCAAAAGAATTAGAGAATTTATTCGTAAATTTATATATTCATGAACATATTTTTATTTTCAATAAAATAGAAAAAAGACTTGCAAAGTGAATTTCATTTGAATCAACAATCATATTTTTGCAAAAACAACTTTGTTACTGTTTTATGTAATTGATTATTTTACAATATGACATTAATTAACTGAATCTTTTTTTGTTTCTCATGACTATTCATCTACAGAAATAGAAAAATTTTTTATTATATAGTTTAAAAAAAAAAAGGAGTAAGAGACACAGATATGTTGTGAAAAAAAAACATGTTTTAAATCATTTCTAATTTTGATGCAGCTGCTTTATCAAGATACCAAATGAGATTTTCAATTTGACCAATTGGATATGTTCGATTTTTATCTTCTATTATTTCTTTAACTATATTTGATTTACTTTCACCTGTAACAACAGCAATTTTATATTTTGCTTCATTTATTGCATTTAATGTTAATGTAACACGTTCAGGTGGAGGTTTGGGTGAGTCTTTTACGTATGTTACTAATCCTTGGTTTACATTCAAAACAGAATGATTAGGAAAAAGACTTGCTGTATGACCATCAGGTCCCATACCAAGAAGAATTATATCAAATGACTAAAACAATAAACAAAAAGAATTTTAGTTATAATAAAAAGAAAAAAAAAATCAAAGATTATTAACTTTATCTGGTTCAATAAATTGTTGTTGTAATTTGTTTTGATAATCTATCGCACATTCTTCAACAGATTTCAATGATGAATCAATTTTAATAATATTTTTTTCTGTAATTGGTAATTGTCGAAATAATTTCAATTGATAAGTTCCATAAGTTGATTCATCTGATGTAAATGGAACAAATCTTTCATCAACAAAAAAAAATCGAATACGAGACCAAGGAAATTGAAGATGAGGAACAATTAATGCTAATAAATCAATTAAAGATCCACCAGATAAACCAATTGTTATTATTTGTTTTTCATTCATTAATTTTAAAACAATTTCTTCAACATCATAACCAACTTTTTCTGATAATAATTTATTATCATCATATATATTGACATTTGATGATGACATGTTTTTTATAAATATCTACAATTATTCTTAAAACAAAAAAAAAACTAAAATATAAATATAAAATAATACTTTATAGAGAATATTTAATAGAATTATAAGAATTAAAGAAAATAAATAAATATATTGATTAATATTCATCAATCTAAATATGAAAATATTCATTATATTTTTTTTATAAACAAAAAAAAACCATTCATATAATCAAAAATATTAATTTAATTCTTCTAATCATTGATTTTCTCAAGTTCATTCACGAATTATTTTCACATTTATTTCTACATTTGATCGAATTGTTTTAACTTGATTTTCATTCTTCTCTTTTTCCGATTCAACTACTTCAAATTATTACTTGTTTAGTTTTTTCTCATCTATATATACTTTAAAACATTCTAGATCTACTGAGAATATTTCGACGAATTTCACTGGTTTTGAAAAAAAAAAAAGAAATTTTTGACAAAAAGAAGATAAAAGATTTCATTCGGTTTTCCAGTAAAGTGTCTTTAAGTTTGAACGGAAAGAAATAAACAGAAAGAAAAAAAAGAGTAGTCATTCGAAATTATATCAAATATCTTTTAAGAAAAATTTTTCAGCGATCTCATATGTATGACAACTAAGAAAAGTAGCTGATCAAAGCGATTAGTTGTAGTTCATGTGATCCGAATATCTCGAAAATGAGAGCATCATGGAATTTTGACTACAGAAAAAAGTATTGTTCTACTCATCAAGATATCAATGCCTTGAAAATTTCAACATTTTTTGTTATTGATCATTTCTCTTGAACGGCAAAGAAGTTGTCTCAACATAACTTATGGATTTTTATTTTGACAAAATAGAAAATAATTAAGTATAAATTTAGTATATTACTTCTAATGAATGATTGTTCCATATGAGTTGTATTGAAAGATAGAAAAAAGTCATAAATCTGAAGAAAATGAAATTAAATCGTAAAGAAAATCTTTGATGATAAAGTTTGAAAACAATGAATTTTGTCTTTAAAAAATGAAAAGCAAAACGAGTTAAAAAAACTGAAGTAACAAAAAAAAAAGTAATTGTTCGTCGGATATTTCTAAGAAAAACATTGGAAATTTTTATCAGTTTGTTTGTTTTATTTTTTTAAGAGATCTGAAAAAAACCAACACCGGCGAAGCATTAAAAAGAAACAAAAAGATTTCTAATAAACTTGTGTAAATGATAAAATGAATGTATTAACTATATTGAATAAATCATTTTGATATTGTTTCAAAAAGAATTGTTCTTAATTTTTGATAACAATCTAATCTTACTTTAGCATAATTAATATAATCAAAATCTAATTGTGATAGACGTGATTGAACTAAAGCCCAAAGTCCCCACATTAAATGTGAAAGTGCTGAAAATTTATCAATTAAATGACATAAATCATCATTTATTATTTGTTGATTCATTTGACGTGATTGAAAATAAATTTTTAACCATCGTTTTTGTTCATCATGTGTTGGATATAAATTAAAATCTGCATCATCAACACCAGCATATTCAACAAAATGATTTGCAATATCAAATAAATAATAATTTAAATGTGTATATTCAAAATCAATAAATGATATTGTATCATTTTTTTCATCATAAATTATATTTTTAACAAGTAAATCATTATGACAATAAACTAAATCTTTACCTAATTCAGCATTTGGAATTAGATGAGGAAGAATATATTCGTCTATTGTATCAACATCTGATATTATTGTTGAAATTTCTTAATAAGAAAACAAACTTGAAATATTTATTTTTCTTTTAAAATAAAAAAAAAAAAAAAAAGGAAATACAAACCTTTTTTTTGTTGTTCATTTTCACTAATTAATTTAATAAATTTTCGTATAAGAGGTATAACATAAGGTTTTTCATATTTATCAATTGGTATAGAATGAAATTGTGCAAGTTTAATAGCAATTAATTTTGAAATATGATCTTTTCGTACATCTTCTCTTGAACATGCTTCACCTGTTGTAAATTCATAAATAATTCCATTATTAAATTGTATAAGAACACGTTGTGTTAAAACTTTATATTCAGATAATTTAATCATAGCCTTGATTTCTGATTGACGATCAATAAATAATTCAGTATGTGCACCAAATACTTTAATAATTAAACCACTTGATTGATCATTAACAATTCGATTATCAAAAAGACCTAATATAGCATTTGTTATACCTTCTGTAAATGGAACAAAACGAGTATTCGATGAATTCCAATCAGGTCGAATATCAGATATTACTTTATATATTTCATTGGAAATAGTCGATAATGATAATGTAACATTTTTAACTATTGGACATGAATACATCTTAAAATATATTTGAAAAAAAAAACACAAATATTTTGATAAATATCATTTTAATATGAATTAAATATGATAGATTTCTTAATGATTATATTTGACGTATCAGCAGATATTCGTATTTTTTTTCGATACGTCTTTACACCGAGAGGTTAATCATAGAATTTTTCTAAAAATTCTCTCGTCAACATATTGTCGTGACACACAATTTAATTATTCATGTAAAAAGAAAAGAAAAAAAAACAGATATTCTATTTGTTTTGCTTTATCGGAAATAAATAGTGAGACGTATTATATATAATAAAAAACTGGGATCGCTCGATTATTTTCACAAATAAGTTTCTTATTTGTTCCTTTATTGATATGAAAGTATTTAATGAAGGAAAATATTCTTATAGAATATTAAACATCTAAACAATGACAAGAATATGTCTCAAAGAAATAATTTAATAGAAATTAAATAATCGATTTTTATACGCCGATTGATTCTTTTATTTTTAATGATGCCTATTAGAAAATAGAGGATCACTATCCAAAAATTTATATCTAGTTTTGAATAGACATATTCCTAATTGGTTACAGATGAAAGATAATATACATTTTAACTGATTGTTTTTTTTTAGAAAGACATAAATCCAACAAGACATACAATATTGTTAAAGTAATATCTCCAGAAGATGAATTTAACTAACATTCTACTACTAAATATCGATAAATCGCTTCTAAGACTAAAACAATTTATTTTATTCATTATAGACTAACGAAGATATTAACGATGAAATGAATTCTATTATATCAGTAAAACGTTTACAAACTTCTAAATATTCGAAGAGAAATTAACAAAAAAAAAATAGTTCACTTATGAAAAAAAGCTTTTGTTAAAATTAATAATAATACTCAATCTTTTTTTTTAAACCGTAATTGAGATTAAAAAAAAAAACTCTGCTCTCATTCCTACTTTTCGTTGATATACTCATTTGTTAATTATATCTGATTAATAAAGCCATCTCGTTCTCATCTAGAAGATTTTTCTAATAAAACACAATAAACAATTATGATTTATTCAAATAATATATTTCAATTGATCAATCTATAGAAATAATCTGTTGTCTATGTTAATGTTGTTCATGACTCATTTCTAAGATAAATTAAAAAAACAAAGAAAACCAAAACCAAAACCAAAACCAAAACCAATGGTGAAAATCATCTAGATAACATTAATTTTTATTGTTATTTCATTTAAGTGCAAGAACAAAAATTCTTATAGGTAAAAGTTCTCTAACAACTTTTTTTAATTTTGAACATTGATCTTTAACAACAGTAAAACCAGCTCGATGAGCTATATCATAAAATTGTTCTCCACTTCTAACATAATATTGATCATCTGGATCAAATTCAGGTTCTTGTCCATGAGCAACACAATTATCTTTTATAACAATTAAACCATTTTTTTTTAATGTTACTTTTAATTTACGTAAAAGACAAACAAGATCATCACCATCTAAATATCCTAATACCCCTTTAATAAAAAATAGAAAATAAAGAAAAATTAATAAATAAATTTTATATTAAATATTTGAAAATAATTTACATTGTGCCCATATAAGATCATATTTAGGAAAATTATCTAATTCAAGTTCACCAATTGAACAAACAAATGATCGATCTATTTTATTTTCATCATTTTCAAATAGATTTCGAGTTTGTTCACAATATTCTTCTAATAAATCATTTATATCAATATGATCAAAATAACGAGATAATAAATTTTTTGTTACACGACCAATTCCACAACCAAGTTCAAGACAATATGATGAACCTAATTTACCATTATATTGCTAAAAAGAAATATTTAAAAAAACTAAAACTTTATTTTATTTTTTTCATTTAAAATCAAACTTTAAAAATTGATTGAAGTAATTGATTAGATTCTTGAATGTCAGCATCATGTACTTGTGTATAACCACCTAACATTGTATCAAATGTTTTTGGTCGAGATGAATAATAATTTCGTGTTACTGTTTGTCTTTCTTTAGCATCTTCACATTCACCTTCCATACGTTCAGTTATTTCCGAAGTTTTTTTCTTGTTAAACATTTTTTAAATCAATATTAAATATAAATAAGAAAAATGATTATATTGACTTGTTACTAATGTTATGTTTTTATTATATTATTTCTAATGGTCTTTTCTAAACCAATAATAATGTTAAAAAACATTGTCAGAGAGGACATCTCTTAGCATATAAAAGAGAAATGAAAAAAAAAGAAAAAGAAATCGAACTGCTCAATTAAATTTGTAATTTGAAACGAAAAAAAAAATGACAAGTACTGGACAATATCCCGAACCATGGAAAAGTACAGCAGCAACATTATTTAATCCATATTTAAATATAAATGGAGTTTCAAAACCAACTCGTCAACAATCAATTCGTACACGTGTATTAACACCAACTCGACATTCTCGAACGCCACCAGAAAGTCTTATTGAAACAGGAAATTTCAACGTAACAGCATCAGAATCAAACAAAAGACCAAAATCAAAACGTTTTCCAAGTCAAAATGCAGCTGAAGAAGTTTCAATTTATGTACAACAAATGATTCATAATCAATTTTGTGGTCGAAGTGGAACACCAAGTGATGTAAGATATGATGATCAAAAATTCAGACGTACATGGAGTATACCAAATAGGAGAATTACAATAAAAAAAAGAATTTCATCAAGCAAACAACGATCACGAGGTTTCATTATTTTGCTTTTAGAATTCAAAAAGAACATAAATCTATATTGTTTTTTAGTATCTGAATATGCATTAGATGATTTTTTTAATACAACTGATGAACAAATGTCACGTATGACATCAATGATGCCTGGTAGAGAATCAAGTTTTAGTGAAAATTATTTTCAATGGAGTGAAAGGTTGGTTTTATTATTTGTTTTCTATTTTATGTTTTAAAATTAAATAAAAGAAAAACTATCGATAAAATTCTTAATTAATCTCTAGTCCTAGACACCATAGAACAAATAATGGTGAACATTTAACATTGGCAGATATGTGTAATGTAGCTTCTAATGTAGGAGATAAAATGAGTCAGAGTAAAGAAAAGGTATTCATTTCAAATAATGTGTGACTAACTTAATACACCGTTTGATTGAATACACTTTATTTTAATGTCTTTTTTTTTTTGTTTTTTCTATTTTAATTTCATTTTATTTTATTAATTAGGTTGGTCTTGAAGCAATACGTGGTTTTCGTTTACCATCTGCTCGATTAACTTATGAACCATATGAATATCATCCAATTGAAGCACCAGTTTTACTTGGTCAACAACATACTACTACGTACTTTTTATTTTATTAAAATTAAAAAAAAAAGAAACTATAGAAAATATGAAATAATTGAATTTTCTTTTTTCTTTTATTGTTTAAAGTGATCGAATTCGATTAAGTGATATTCTAACAGATGATAATTATTCAAATGCACCAATGATTGAAATAGTTGGTGGTGATCTTATTGATGATAAAGGATCACGAATCAGTCGTACTCATTTAAAATCAAGTACAACAACAACAACATCAAAAATTAATGAATTTAAAGATTGGAGAGGAAAAATTACTCAACCGAATTTACCTGAGTATTTTATTTATATATTAATGTTGCTTGTTTTTTTTTGTTCTTTTAAATAATATTTCTTTCTTTTAAGTGTTCGAAATCGATTAAGACGACAACAGTCAGCATCAGTTATATCTCCTCAACGACCTTGTACAGCTGCCAGTAATTTTTCAAAATCTCGACCTGAATCATCTGGTGGTTTACTTCTTAATGATTCTCAAAAAGAAGAAGTTGTAAGTCATTTAAAATAATTGTTCTGATATTAAATTTAAAAATTAAAAAATAGGAAATTCCATCATCATCATCAGATAAAATTACTAGTGCACCAGTTGCTTCAGTTTTAAAAAAACCAACAAGTAGTAAACAACGTCAAAGAAGTTATCCACTCAACGTTCGTATTGATGAGACGAATGTTAAACAGGTTCTTCATCATATTCAAAAAAAATTCTTTTTTTTCTTTATTTTGTTCAATTGTCAATGAAAAATTTTAGAATACAGATACAAATGAACCTGGTCGTGCTCAAAGTTGTGAAAGCACTGAAAATACAAGTAAGCAATACAATAAATAAATGTTAATATAATTTTTTTTTTAAAAAAAAAGTACAAATCATTGTTTAGTTGATCCACCGTGTTTAAGTCTTGGAAGTGAAAATAATGATGAATTATTAAAAACAACTGAAATAAATCCTCATTCAACACCAGTTCCAATGTTATCAACAAGTACAACACCATTTACAATGGATACAAATGATTCACAAGCTCGTGGAAATCATTCACCAGATTTATTATCACATAAACGAAATTATAAATTAATTCCAAGTTCATCAAGACAAATTTATCGAACAGTACCTGAATCAAATCAAAATTCAACTATAAATCCAGCAAATGAACAATTAACACAATTAACATTATCACAATTAGAACTTTTAGAAAACTACGATCCAATGATCAGTGCTAAAATAGGTATTCCATTTATTCCTGTACAAATGTTAGCAAGACCACGTGAAGCTAATCAATCTACTAAACTTTCTATTGATCAAATTCAACGAAATTATCCAAAGTATGATTTTGTTTTTGAATATGTACGAGTACTTTTTATTATTTCTTTTATTTAATTAAATATTTAGAAAAAATGGTCAACCCATATTTGAACCACGTACAACTCGTTCTTGTCATAGTTTAATTGATATATCTCAAACACTTCAATTAACAAAATCTAAACGAATACGTGTTGAAAGACAAACAACATTTGAAAAACCTGAAAATGAAGCATCAATTGAAGAAAGTATTCAAATAAAACCATTAGAAAATCCACATCGTTTAGCAATATCACTTTATTCTCCATCGGAATCACATTCATTTGTTAAACATACAAATTCAATAAGAACATCATCAAAAGCAAATCCAAGTCATTTAGATGATTTATCAACTTTAGTTAATTCAACTGAACCACAAGGAACTCTTTCTGATCAGTATGATTTACATTTTTTTTTGTTCTTCTTATTAGAAATACTTAATTGAGCGAGAAAAAAAAACATGAAAACAATCATCAATAATTTAGAAGTTGTAAAAGTGATAGAAGAGAAAAAGGAATTTTTATGCTTCACAATTATTGAAAATGATTTATTATTGATCAGTAAAACTAACACGATTTTTCGAATTTTAATTAATTCTGTCAAATATTTCCTCATACTTTGACAATCTTGAGACTTGTACATAACCTTTGCATTGGTTGATCTTACGAGGAAACCATCCGAGGTGTGAAAACGCTTTTGCGCTGAAATTTTGCCCACAAGTAGGGGATGCATAGACTAGAAAAAGCCTAAAAGGATATTGGCCCAAGTTGGAATTTGACTGAGATATCGACTATTTACCATAATTTTCCTATAGGATCCTACTTGTTCGATAAAATCAAAGTTTTGAATTTAGATCTGAAACTTTGTCGACACCCAGGTCTCAATCAGACAAGCTTGCCTACAAAGTTTCAGAACTCTGGGATAGACTATATCCGAGATATTAATATGTTAGCATAAAGACGCTTTTTTACGGATCTAATGTTTCACATAGATATTTTGGCAGATTCATATCTTGGAGATAGTCTATCCCAGAGTTCTGAAACTTTGTAGGCGAGCTTGTCTGATTGGGGCCTTGGTGTGGACAAAGTTTCAGGTCTAAATTCAAAACTTTGATTTTATCGGACAAGTAGGGTACTATAGGAAAATTATGGTAAATAGTCAATATCTCAGTCAAATTCCAACTTGGGCCCATATCCTTTTAGACTTTTTCTAGTCTATGTATCCCCTACTTGTGGGCAAAATTTCAGCTCAAAAGATTTTTGACACCTCGGGTGGGTCCCTCGTTAGTATAAAGATGTTGACACATTATGAAAAATAAATCGACTATGAGTATAAATTTATTGTTAGTGCATTAGAATTATCATTAAACAATTGATCAATATCACATTATTGTTGTTGCATTATTATCAATAATCTCATATGTTGTTCGTTATGCATTTCTTTAAATAATTGTAGATATAAAAATTGAAACTGACTATTTCAAAGGACTGATAATATAGAGAATAGTTAATATTTTTTAACTTCTATTTAAATTTATTCATAAAATATATAATTAGAAATATTATAAATAAGTAGAATAAACTTCGAATTTTAATAATATCATTCTCAGCGAATTATAAAAAGTTTATTTATGAGCTCATTCGCTTTGATGTAGAAATATTTAAAAATTTTTTCTGTCCAAAAAAAAAATATTATTTAGTCTATGAATATCAATAAACAAGATAAATATCTAAAATATAAACAAAATAGAAATATTGTTATAAGATTTTTATATTTATATATGATAAATTATAAAATATTATTTTAATATAATATAGATTGAAAGATGAACAACGAATGGAACATAATTTAAGTGTTCTTAATATTCGTACACAACAAGGTTGATTCATTTATATTTTTTAATAATCTTTTTTGTTTTTTTAAAAATTTATTTTTTCGTATAAAGAAGTTGATCAAATGCGTCAACGAGGACGAACAAATCAAAGACGTCTTGTTTTTCCAACTTCTATAATAACAAGTTCAAATATGCATTCTTCTCGTAATCGACAGATAAAACAACAAGGAAGACCAATTTCAAGTGTATTTCTTACACAAGATCCTGTAAGACAGTCAAAAACTTTGTTTTTTTTGTATAATTCTAATAAAATATTCAAGGATGAATATAATTATTCAACATCGATATATCGTCAAGCAAGAAATGATGTCGATATAAAACGTGCATTTAAAGGATTTATTGTGGAAAATATTCAAAAAAGATTATCTGCTGATGAAAGAAAAAAACGTGAAGACGAACAAAGAGCTGCAATTAAAATTCAACGGTATTTTAAAAAAGCAACGAAGAAAAAAAGAAACAAATTATTTTATTTTATTATTTGATTAAGAGCATATCGAGAACATTTACAACGACGAAAACAAATTGAAAATCGTCGTCCATCAGCAAGTAAAAGACGTGAAGAAGAACGTGATCATCGAAGAATTCTTTCTGCTAAACGAGCACAATATGTTGAACAACAATTAATTGAACAAACAAGGTTAAATTAATAAAAAAAAAAAACAAAAAAATTATTATCGATTTATTTATTTAATTACTTTTTTTTGTATTTAGAATTCGAGATGAAAATAAAGAATATAACAAAATGCTTGATGATACAGGACCATCTCTTCGAATATATGCGTAAATTATTTATTTATTATTAATTGAAATAAAATGTTTTTTTTTTGTTTTTAGAAATTTTAATCAAGTTGATGCAAAATTTTCTAATTCAACACTTAATCGAGCTGCAACATGTATTCAACGATGGTGGAGAGGATTTATTGTTAGACATAGATTAAATTATATGAAAAAAGAAGTATTGTTTCTTTTTGAACAAAAAAGTATTTATTTATTTATTTATTTTAATTAAAAAAAAAAAAGGTATCTAACTTTGGTTTAACATGGGTTGAATTTTCTTCTCGTTATCGTCAAGTTGTTCAACGTATTCAAAAAATGCGTCAATCAGAATATAAACAATTTATATTTAATATTAATGAAACAAGAGATTTTCTTACAACTGAAAAAAGTTAGTTTTCTTTGATTTATTTACATATGATTTTTAGTTTTTGTTTCTTAAATAGGATTAACAACTATTTTTAAAACACTTTCATTTAATGATAAATTAGATGCAAATGAATTAGAAAAATTCTTTGAATGTTGTGATTTATCAGCAACATCCTATGAAATAAAAGAAGCTTTAGATTATGTTCTTCAACGTAAAAATATCTTTCGTTATTTATTATATAATAACATTTTTTTGTTTTTGTTTTATAGATTATCCACCTCAAAAAAATGATTCATTAACAAAAGAAATTATATTTGATGTTGTTTATTATATATATCCACCAAAAGCAACTGGTCTTCAGACATCAAGAAAATCCACTTGGGTTCGACCAATTATTGATGGAGAAGATGAAACTGCTATTCAAGGTAAGATAAATACAATTCAAATTATTATTATGAATTCTTTGCTTTTTTTTTTTGTTCTTAAGGAACACCTTTCTTAGAACCAATCGATATGAATATTGTTTATAAATTTTTGGATAAACAATAATTATTTTATATAAATGCATTTCTCTATTGTAAACATTTTGTTTTTTGCTTTTTCGTTTGAAACTGAATAACATTTATTTTTGGCAGTGAATTCATATTTCTTTTTATCATCTTTTTCTTTTTTTATATTTACTATCAGAGAATCAGGTGGTTTTTTTTTATTATTTGAAATAAAAAGAAAAAGATTTTTTTATATTTTGCTATTTATCATTATTTATTATTCGATTGTCTGTAGAAAAAGTATATTTCTCAATTTTATTGTTTTTTCATGTTCAAACATATTTAATGATTACTAATTAAACACATAGACAATATATTCTTAAGTGATATTGTTCTTCTCATCACTAATGAATATGTTTAAATAAACGAGAAATAAAAAAATCCTTATAAAAATATGATTTCTGTTCATAAGAAAAATCATACAAACAAAAAATAAATATCTACTAGATTTATTTAGAATGTATTTTTGATCTTTAATAGATTTAATCATGCTTTAAATAAAAAAAAGAAATTAAATCGAATTTTCAATATTGATCAACCGATGAGAATATTTCGATCATCAACATAACTCGAATGAACTTCACATGCTCATTTAAATTAAAATCATAATCAAATCTATAAACATATTTCAGAATAATCATATTTAAACTGACTGATATAATTGACATTAAGTTATATCCTCTATGAAAAATAATCAAATCCTTCATCGTTCTTCAATATATCTGTTTTATTAGACAACAAAAAAAAACGAGACAGTTCAAAGTCTTATACACTTTGTAGAACAATCCATTTTTATTTTTTTTCGTCGTACATTTATGATAAAGATTCATATTCACTGTACATATGTATATATAGAGGGTATTACTATCTTCTATGCGATTGAATTTCAAACCTTTTGAATCCTTATTGTTGAAAAATTATAATTATCACAAAATTTCATAGAAATTTTTTTCAATTATTAATGTTGCTCACAAGTTCTAGAACACCAAAAAAATTGACTTAAGTTAAATTGTTTTCCATGAAAGTTTTACCGTCGATAGAACTTGAAAATTTGTAATCTCAGTCATCAAGCTGAAGTTGATCGCTTGACTTAGAATGCAACTGAATGTCTAAGACTAGCCCAAACTTGCTTGACTTCCAATAGACATTTTCATTTGATATACTAATTCACTTTCAAATTTCTTATTTCTCTGTTTTGTGAAATCGATTTTTGAGATGAAAAGTAAATGCTTCAATATCGATAGCTTTTCGATTAATTCTTTGTGAATGATTTAAGAATCAATGAATTTGAAAGTGATTAGTGTATTGAAAGCTAACACCGAAGCCCAGCAAGTTCAGACAAGTCTTAAATATTCAATTGAATTGTAGGTTAATCGATCAAGCTCAGCTAGGTGTCTGAAATTATAGATTTCCAAGTTGTAAAATTGATAAACAAGAAGTTTCTATGAAACATTTAATTGCATAGGCGACAGTAACACCTAGTATGTATATTCTGTGAACATGAATCTTTGCTATAAATGTAAAATAAAAATAAGTATCACGTAAAAAAAATTAAATAATGAAGTGATTTATAAATGTTGAAAGAATTATATGATTCAAAAATTGCTGTTGAGTCTTTGTTCGAGACCTCATGAAATATTCCTTATGCTTGTGCATTTGTTTGATGAACAATATGATAGGTAGCTAAATGGATTTCAACTACCAGTTAAATTGATTTAAATTGAGAACAAATATTGGTATGAAAAGTGGAAGAAATTCAAATACTCCAAGTGTTATTCAATGGCGCAGCGAGGAGATGTTTTTATTTACGAATAATTTACCAGTTAAACTGTTTTGAAGAGCAGATTCTGATGAATCATTGTCACTAATATCAAAAAATGCTCGAGTAATAACATTTGTGACGTCTAGTTATTCTTATTATCAGAAGAAAACCATCGACAGTAAATTTGCGACCCATGACAAAGTATTCAATTATCCATGACTGAATACGTCACTGATGTTATTTTTCCGTCACAGATATTGACATGCATGTTCAGAAAACAAAATACAAATCGAGCTTGTTTGATATGAAAAACAATGATATATTTATCAGAATATAATATGAAGAATATCTTGAAATGTGTAATTTCAACCAATATTAGAATAAACAAAAATCAATGAAATATTTAACAGTAAACAAATATTTTGATGAGTAGTGCACATTATTTTTCTTGATTTTCTTTCTGATCAATATCATTTATTAAAATCTGATATACATTTTTTTTCTCTCGTATTTGATCAACAATCAAAAAGAAAATAAAATTTTGTATAATCGACATTATTTTGCTTACAAATAAGATATATTGTTATCAAGATAATCTTCTATGACCCTATAATTACCTCATACACTGAATCATATTATGTTGTGTCTCATATGTGGTGTGATCATCTTCCGCTAATCTTTTACTCACCACATGACGTCATTCTAGTTATATGTACTATTGCTCAACATATGGCGTGATTTTACACACATACATAAACATACGCATTTCTTCTAAATTTTCGTTTCTTTTTTCCTTGTCCATTTTTCATTTCTTCCTTCTCATTGTTTTTATTTTTGACCCTATACGTTCAGACCTTTTTGTAATAAACTGTATAGTCATCAGTGCCAACAAATATAATTTTTAGAATCCTATTGAACATCAAATGGAATTCGATAAGTTCTATAATCGTTTCTTGTTGAGTGAAGCTTAGATACTTTTCGACAACATATACAGTAATATTGAAAGTGATATGTGGTGATCTCCAAATGACTGTTGCACATCAATTTGTTTATTGAAAGTACTAATATATACATGTATGTCATGTTTTGCGTGTTCTTTTTATGGCTATATGAGTAATGTTATTTTTCTTATGGTGACTGACGACATTATAAGTCGAAGTTAGATTCTACATATGAAAGTACAGAACAAATATCGATTGAGAACAGTAAACATAAAAATGACTGATAAGATCGAAAAAGAAAAATTTTTCGTCTATAAAAAAGGTATATTTAAAATATGTTCTAATAATTAATATTATTTTTCTTTTTATAAATAACAAGACAGTGACTTCACTGTTTCAAAAAAATAATGTCTCAAAATAGTCATCCATTTTTACGCATAGAAATATTTAAATTTCAAATAAGTCAACAAAAACAAACAATAGATTTAAGTAAAGTTAAAACTGAAGTTGAAATAAAAGAAAAAGGTGATTCAACACAATCATGTATGTCTATTTTATTATATTTATATTTATTTAAATAAATTAAAACATTTTATCTTTTTTTTTGTTAGCACGAATAAAAAAGCCAATTTACAATGAAAATCATCAATGTATACGATTTGATGCTGGTTTATTGACAAATATACAACGAAAAATATTTATTCAAATTTTTTATAATGATATTTCATATAAATTTCAATCAAATTTAAAAGATTTTCGAAAATTAGCAGATGGATTTCGACATCAAGTATTTTTGTTAATTTATAATTATTTATTTTAAATCAATATGTTTTTTTTTTTTTAATTTTATTTTCATAGATTAATTTTACACCCAAAGCTCAAGCAGATATAATAATTGAATATAAAAGTATATTTTATTAAATATTTGTTTTAAATTTAATATTGTTTATAATTCTATAAATTAGATCCATCTATTCATAAAGATTCTCCATTACAAATAAACCTTCATGGTCAACGTTATGCTGAACGTTATCAAACTGTTCTTAAACATGTTGGTCATAGATTTGTTGGAAAAATATTCAAAATACCAACATTTTGTTCAATTTGTGGTGATATTCTATGGTATAAACTGTTTGAATATATGTTAATTATTAACAAAATTATTTTTATTCAAAGGGGTTTCGCTTATAAAGGTTTTCAATGTCAACGATGTGATTGTGTCGTACATAAAAATTGTTTTGATCGTGGTATACATCCATGTACTGGACAAAAATATACAGATGTTAGTTTTATTTATTCATTAAATAAGAATTTCTAAACGAACTTGAACAATATTCAAAAAAAAATAAAAAATAATTTGTTTTTCTTTTAGCTTGAAATGATGAAAGCTCATCATTTTCAACATGAACAATTTTCTTGGCAAACAATTTTTTGTGATCATGATGGAAGTTTTATTAAACCAGGACATTCATATAAATGCACTCGTAACGCGTTATTTTTATATTATCTTAATATTTTTCAATAATATAAAATATTTTTTTCTAGAATGTTCAATGGTTGTTCATCGACGATGTCGATCAAAAGTTGGACATTATTGTGGATATCAAGAAAATGGTTTATTAGAACGTTATGAAATTTGGAAACAAAACGTATTTTAATTTTTATGAAGATAATCTATGTTTTGTTTTTTTTTCTTATTAAATTTTCTCATTTAGCATAAATCAGATTCTGATTATAATTATCAATATAATGGAGATTTATGTGAAATTTATTCAAATCTTGATAAATGTGATCAATCAACTCATGTTAAAGAAGTTATTGAGCGTATATCAAAACTTCATCAGTCACATACAAGTTCAAGTTTGCAAATAAATGAAATTCAAATTTTACAAACATTAGGCATTGGAATGAGTGGATCGGTTCGTCAAATTTTTCTTTTCGTTTTATTCACTTGCTTTTTTTTCAATGAAAAAGAATATTTATTTATTGAAAATCATCAGAAGACAGCAGACACATTCATTCTCATGAATAAAGACACCCAAACAACTAAGATATTAATGAGACAAATCTATAACAAATGCTTGTCAAGAGCTATTGGACATTCCACATTTTCCATTTTTTTGACATAGTAAACTCTTGAAAGATATCCAGCAAGTAGAGAATACTTCGAAACGTATATATAGATAAATCTAATACTAAAATTTAAAAAAAACCTGAAAATTTCCTGTCGGGAAATAGTTGGGAATTCTAGCTAAGAGAATAATATTTCATAAGGAGCATCATAATGATTTTCTCTCTCATTTTCCTATAAAGCAAATCAATAATGAGGACATGATGGAAAAAAAGAAATTGATCGTCAAGTAACTGTTTAATTAAATAAACGAGCTTTACTATTAATAATTTTAGTTCATTAATAGAAACTGATTAGTTTTGAATGTATGACACGAATTTGTTAGTATTTTCAAATAATTATAAATAGAAATCTAATATATATATTCTGATATGAATTATTTTAAAATAATAAAAATATAATTAGTTGAATTGTAGGTATATTTAACAAAACATGGTGAATCTTATTATGCAATGAAAACTCTTCGTAAAAATTTAGTATTAGAAGGACAAAATCTTGAATATGTTAAATCCGAACGTGATATTCTTATTCAATCTCGATCAAATCCATTTATAGTTCAACTTTTTTATGCATTTCAAAATGTTGAAAGACTTTTTTTTCTCATGGAAGTTGCTCGAGCTGGAACATTGTTTAATCTTCTTGAATATCAAGCACCTAAACCATTTAAACAAGATCAAATTGTTTTTCATAGTGGTGAAATAATATGTGGACTTATGTTTCTTCATTCAAAACATATTGTAGGTTTTGTTTTTTTTTGAAACTATTGAAATTCAATAGAATATTTATTTAATACAGGTTTATCGTGATTTAAAACCTGAAAATGTATTTATCTTTGAAGATGGACATGTTAAACTTGGTGATTTTGGTTTAGCAAAAGAAAATGTTGATAAAAATCATAAAACAAAAACCATGTGTGGTACAGCTGAATATATTGCTTATGAAATTTATCATCGAGATTCTTATGATGAAAATGTTGATTGGTGGTCATTAGGAATTTTAATATTTGAATTATCAACATTTAAAACACCATATTATGCTAATAATAGTACAGATATAACACAAAATGTTCTTTTAAATCAAATTAATTATCCAGAAACAATGATCAAACAAAATAAACAAATTATATCTGGTTTACTTGAACGAGATCCAAAACAAAGATTAGGAAATATTATTTCTTCACATGGATTATTAAAAGATCAACCATTTTTTCAGTAATTTATTATTTTTGTTTCTATGATACTTATTCATTTATATACATATATATTATAGAGAACCATATACACTTGATGCGATTGAAAATCGTCGTGTTCGTCCACCATGGATTCCTACTGTATGTTGTTCATTATTATAAAAAAAGAATTTATGGTATTTTGTTCTATTTAAATTTTAGTCATTACTATCATTTAAACAAAAAACAAAAGTTCCACAATTATCTAAACTTGATCAAAAAGATACTCTTTTATTATTATCAACACCAGTAGATACTTTTCGCAATTTTTCTTATATTAGTCCTAGTGTTGCTAATTTTCTTTAAAAAAGATTTCAACATCTGTATATACATATAAGGTTTCATTTTCTAAAAAAATCCATATCGGAAAGATAACTATAAAGTTAAATTAAAGTAAATTTAATGTTTTATTGATTGACATCTATTGTAAGTTAAAATCTTTTCAATAAATTATTATTCAAATATTGTAGAGTGATAATTTATTTTTTATTTTGTCAAATAGATTTCATCGAAATAAATATCTCAAGGTTTATTTTTGTTTTTCAATTGTTAATTTGTCTCTTTTCTGTTGATTTCATTTTTTTTTTGTCATTAATTAAAAATTCTTTATCGAATCAATTATATTGTTTATTCATGTTGTTATTATTATTATTACTAAGAAATAGTACTTAATTAAAAAGTTATTACAATGAAAACAAGAAGATATTTTAATACGAACAAAATAATAATTAACTTTCGGTATAATCAATAATGACAATATGTTAACATTTAAAATATAAAAAAATCATTATATTAAAAGTATAAATAAATAAGTGTTTCGAACAATATAATATAATTGTTAATATAAGTTAATATCTTTTATTTGCTATTTTTGAATATTTACACGAACTAAGACTCATTACGTGTTATTAAGTAAAAAGATAACAGAACAAATAAATATAAGTGTACCTTGTAATTCTATTATTCTCTTCGAACTGTGTATGATTACATATGAATCACTTAGATATTTTGTAACGAAGTTTACAATCATCGAGAAAATGTTGTATAGTTTATTTATTCTGTTTTCACGTTCATTTATTTGTCGATATATGTAAAGAAAAACAAAATCAAACTGATTATATTCTGTTATTAAATATTAAAAAGCACTGCACTTGTTTATAGCAACATAGATGAGTTTGTCATAGATTAACATAGAATGTATTTTGATGTATGATTTATTCTTTTTTATAGAGTTTATCAAAGATCGTAAAGAAAAGAGAAAAAAGTACAAATTTAAATAAAGATGATTGCATTAGAAATGATGAGATAACTAGCGCAGCTGAAAAGTCACTCATATGGACTTAAATCGGAATGGATTTATTCTTTTTTGTAATTATTCTTTCGCATAAAAAATGCTATTAAGAAGTTATTCATTTAAATAAAATCATAAAAATCTCAATAAAATGTCAATTCATGTTTTATAGCTTTTATTGATAAAGCAGAGCCAGTAACACATACATCGATATGAATAGAGACGGACAAATTGGTGATGGTAATTATCAAATTTAAGACTATTGATCCTCTTATTGGTTATTGTGTATTATATTTGTAAAATTCATAATTATTTTCAGTAATTATAAAAATTCATAACGAAAATCAAGTCAAAATGAGCAATAGCAAAATTTTAGTTGAAAAAGCTAATCAAACAAAAATCTTACTCATCTTCATAAAAAGTCTCATTTTGTCTATGTTAATTACTTTAAAAAAGTGTTCAACACTTTTAAAAACTGAGAAAATGATTTTGAGAGAATTGGTTAAGTTGTTTTTTTTTTTCAAAAAAATCAGAAATCAAATAAGCAATTGGTTTGTGTAATTATGAAACAAAACATTTTAAGAAAACTTTGAATATGTTTTCTTATATTTATTTTGCTTAAAATAAAAATTTTCTTATAAAAAAAACCAATGTAAAGATTTATTATTTAATTATTGAATAAAAGTGTAATAATATCAACAAAATTTATATATATAAATGCACCGTAACAAGCTATGTATTTTATATATAGAAATTTTTATGAATAATTGCTAGTCGATTTGATAAGAAGTTTATTGTTGACTAATTATTGGAATACAAATTTCATTTCGTCTAAAATGTGGAATTGTATATGGAGGATTATAACCAAAATAGCAAACATCATTTTTATTTGATGATAATTGAATTCCATCTCGATGAGCAGCTTCTCGAAGTTCTTTTTCTTTTGCTGTATTTCTCTCTGTTGTCATTGACATATTAAATGTAATACAAGCCATATCACATGAATTATCTTGTTCGACAATTTGAATATTTTTATCATTAGGTTTTGGTAGTTGATCTAATGAATTAAATTTTGTAGGAGACATAATAAATGACATGGTACGTTTTGTGCTACCATCACATTCAGTTTCTTGCATTATAACTGGAGCTGTCATTGAGATTTTTGTTTGTGTATCATTATTTCCAGATATAAATTTAAACAATGGAAAAAATCCAGTTCCCGTATTTGATGAAAAATCCGTTTTCGTTGGAACTTCATAATGACTTTGTGCTAAATATTGTTTATAATATCGACGAATTTCATAGCCATCTTTCTTAGCAATAACATCGTATGGTGGCATTTCACTACTAATACCTCCAAACATTGTTAGATATATTTTAAAGAAATAATTATTATTCTTTTTTGGAATATTTTTATTCTGTTAGTTTTGTAAATATAATGAAGCTATGATGATATGATCCTATTGGCTATATATACATATGTCTACCTACTGATGGTTACATAATTTTGTCTTTCTTCTAAAGGAAAAAAAGAAATGTCTCGTTTTTTTCGTCCTTTTTTTACATCGAAAGTATTCTAGGTCAAAGAAATGTTCTTACGTAGGCACTTACATAATTGATACATCATTGTTTTTTTTTTTCATATACATTGATCTAGACTATTTTGAGTACTTTTTTGCTTTAGTCAGATTATTTATTCAAATAAAACTATTCTACAAGTGTTTCTTTTTGTAAAATCTCTGTAAGAAACTCGATAATTACATTTTGTCTAGTGTAAATAACCGCCATCAATGATAATATTAGTTTTATCATTTTTTAACTACAAAATAAATTCTATTTTTTTTATTATATTCAACCAGTGCATAGAGACTTTCATAAATTTTATAAACGAAAGATCAATCATAGTTTTTCAAAATCTATAATAGGCAATATTAGTAAATTCATTTGTCATTATGATATTAATGAAGAAAAATATCTTCAAAAATAAACTATTCTTCATTTTTCTCAATAACGAACGTGAATAAAAATAAACTGACTTAAATCATAAGAGATGTATCCCGTCAATATAAAACATCGTAACTATAATATGAGAAAGGAGTAGTATTTTAGTAGACTCATTTTATAAAAGAATAAAAATTTCAATGAGTTTAAAAAACTTAGATGAGGAACAATTTGAAAAATAATATGAAAGAATCATCTTTTACAATTTTTTACTTGAAATACTATAAGATCTTTTTTTCTTGAGAACTTGTTATCGAAAATCGACCAACTTATTTATATTCATATTTCATATTAAGCAGGTTGTTTCTAAGAAATAATTTAATGTTCATTCATTGTTTTTATGCACTACAAAATCTAATCTGAATCTTTCAAGATTTGATTTTTTTCTATTAGTTCATTGTTATAAATTATATTGTAACTCTTAGTTAAAGTTCAAAACTGTTAACAATTTATAAATTGAACGCAATATATATTTTTATTGTTAAAAGTTCATTTACTTAGTTTCTGTGACGATCGACGATTGTCATTTTGAAATGTTCCAATAGAATATTCGAAAAAAATCATAGGTCTTTCAAGAAAAAATTTCATCCCACATCAGCGATACATTTAATTCATTTTAGAATTTCCTGTGTACTAGTAGCTAGAATTCACATTCTCTTCATCGGACTAAAAACTAGCAAACAATCATTTTTACTTTTCAGAAAATAGGTCAAGGACGTAGATCTATTCGTAACAAACAATCGAATCTTACTCGTCGAATAATTTTCGTCATTATGGATGAAAAACAAACAGCTAAAGCAGATATTCTTAACCAACATCCACATGATCATATGATATGTCATATTTATCGTGCTAACTAGATCGCAAAATGTGCATTACAGTTTGGTCATCATCCTGTTAATTGAGTACTTATTGCATCAGACAATGAAATAGTTTTGATGGAACAGAGTAACATCGATACAGTTAATCATGCTCAATCAACATTTGCTCGCATTGCTCACACTAATTTTTCTCCAGAGTATCTTTCTGGATGCACACTTTATATGACATTCAAACTGTGTATTATGTTTACAGGTACATGATGTTGGGCTAATATTGGATATCTGGTTTTTGATGCAGCAGAAAAACGCCTTTGTTACGTGTTTGACCATGGTCAGAAGGATGTTAAACTAATTTATCCGATCCATTTACTGAAATCGAAATAAAAACTCATCAAATTACATAAAGGATCTCGGAAATAAGCAAACATTCACATTTCTCTTCGAAGATTCTCTATTAAGAAAATTGAAGAATGTTTCTTTTTAAAATGAATATATGTTGTGTTCTCATTTCATCTTCATAATCAATCATTAAATAGAAAACCAGTTGATTTTCGTATGATTCGTTATTAGAAAATGCAACCACCTTTAAACGGATTAATTGAATTTTCGTTCTAATAAGTAATGAGCAATAAAACAATCTTAACAGACAAGTCAAAAAAATATGCATCGATCTTTTAAATATGCATGAGTCTATGTAGAATCTATATTAGTTAATCGAATATCAAATATTATTAGATGTTTAATAGCCTTAGTTCGCCTTTTTGATTCTTAATTGAAAAAGATCTTTTTTTTGTGAAGAATAATAACTACTATAATTGACAAAATATAAAAGAAACAAAGAAATGATCATATAGTATGCCAGATAGGGACTTGAGAAAATTTGCTAAATCTTTTAAAAAGAATAGGTAGGTTTGTGAATAGTAACACTATTAAATCTTTTTTAACTGCACTAAGATGGACAGAAAGATTGTTTGTTCTACGTTCAAATAATAATATGAATGTTGATGTGTTTTATGAAACATGATTCAAAATGAGTCTTCTCTCATCTGTTCCCTTCGTACAGGTCATGATACCGTTAATTAAGTAAATTTTTTATTCATAATTATATGAGATATTTTTTTTTGAAAAGAAAATGCTTCTAACTGATTATTATCTTGATAATATTCATCAAATTATTCTTTAATTGTTATCAGTTGACATAAACATAATGTTTGATGTAAAACTTCGATATAGATTATACAAGAAGACAGTAGAAAAAGTAAAATATTATTATTTCTTAATGATCCATCTAAAAAAAATAGATGAAACTTATGAAAAGTCGAGATCAATCATTTTTCGCTGCAATTCATTACTAGTGACTTCAGTTGATTCGATAATATTCAATTATTTTTCGTAGAAAATTCTAATAATTGTTTTCATTCTGTATAATATATATAGGTAGATATATATTGCTTTTTGTCACCGAACATTTCCTATACAATGAATTACAATCCAAGCAACTACAACAAATCGTAAATCAAATATTTGACAATAATGCTGCAGACATAGAATGAACAAAAAGTAAGTGTTGTGTTCGGGTTCATTTCAGTTCACATAATTTAACAATACAGCTTCATTCAATACAACCTTTTATTCTCGCACAATTTATATATGATGAGAAACTTTCTTTGCCAAAGGTTATCTAGAGTGAGAAGATTTGGAATATGTAAGTGTTGTTATTAGCTCTATAAAATGAAAAAAACAGAATCACTTTCATGCAAGTTAGAAAAATAACTATCTCCAATTTTATTGTTTTCAATAAGTTTAATTACGAGAAAAAATGAAAAATCTCTTGTATTTTACTGAATAGGTGTTATCTTGAGCATTTGAACAGCATGACGTTCAATTTCTGGTGATGTATAACTACTAAAAAATATTCCGACATCTTTTCGAGCCCATAAATCGCGTACTCGAGCCCATTGATTAGCTGGCCAACCCAAATCAGTCCATTTGACTGTGATTGTTTCGCTGGTACTACTGTTGCGATTGAGCAATAAAACAGCTTGTGATCCATCAAATAGTGGACCCGCCCATATTTCGATACTTTGTTCAACGGTTAAACATTGACCATTATCTGTATGTTTCAATAAACCATTTGTTTGATCCCATATCCATGTTTGACTATCTGATTGACTACAAGAAGACACACTTACAATACGTTTATTCTGATTGTGAACACTCAAACTAAAAATAAATATTAATTTAATTGTTTAATATGTTCTTGTTCTTCTACAGATAAAAATATAAAACTCACAATTTTCCATTGAGCTGAGAAACAATTGTCTGTTTGTTGATGTCAATTGTCCACTGTTGATTTTTACCTTGGCATGGTGCTTTGGAATTGTCAATGTAACATGAAGTGATGATCAGGTCATTTGTATCACCAGAATCACATTGTTCAATTGTTAAACATTTTCCATCAATGTTTGATCGAATTCTACTGTTTTGTGGATCATATATCCATTTTTGACGTTGTTCTATGCTTTTTATCGACGAACAATCACTCATAAATACCATGTTCGACGCGTTCGGTAGTTGGGACGAAGAAATAACAATTTTTTTACCTTGTACACCTAAAGAATCTTGATTAATAGCGATTACTTCAGAATTTAAATATATATTTAGAGTAGCTTGACTCATCTTTGTCACATCACCACCAATCAAAAGTGGAGCTTTACTAATCGCCCAAAGAGAGAAATAAGATATATATTCCGTGTCTGTCATACCACCATTGCCTATTCGTAGCACTATAAAAAAAAAAGAATGCCAAAAATCTTTAAAAAAAAACTAATGATTCTCAAAACTAAGCTCACTGTCAGGATCATTCCAACCACCCGGTCCTGCTTTATCAGCAAATTGATTGTTCTAAACAAGATCGAAAATATTTTACAACATAGAATTTATTATTCTACGGTATCAATAGTGCTAATCATAGAATCCCAAGTATCCGAAATATCTCCGGTAGTTCGCCAACTATTACCAACATCCGCAGCCCATAGAGCCGGTGTGTCAACACCCCATTCTATTCAAATATAGTTATTAATAAATAATTTTATTATCCTTATTTTTTTTTGTTTTCAAGATATTTACCACACAATGAGTAAAAAATAGGTCGACCAGTAGCATTTAATGCATCACGCATAACTGGATAGCGTACTTCTGGTTTAGTACCATCTGTATTGCAATTATCATACTTTAAATAGTCGACACCCCATGAAGCATAGGTAGTTGCATCTTGTTTTTCGTAACCCAAAGAACCAGGCCGACCAGCACATGTTTTATATCCAGCATCTAATCAATAAACGAGATAAAAAACAAAAATTGTACAAAAAAATGTTTAAAGATCATAATTATACCTGAATATAAACCAAATTTAAGTTTACGAGAATGAACATAGTCAATAAGAGCAGGTATGCCACTAGGAAATACTTTTGGATCAGCTTGAATAGTACCGTTAGCATCACGACTTATCTGCCAACAATCGTCTAAGTTGACTAAATATA